TCTCTCTCTCTCTCTCTCTCTCTCTCTCTCTCTCTCTCTCTCTCAGTGGCGAGCGGGCATTTCGGCAGTATAACGGCAACGGCAACAGTTTTGCCATGGCCTGGGCCTGAACCCGTCGCCCTCCCCACACTGCCCATTGCCCACACGGTGCCCCTCACTTGGTGGCACCGAAACAGGCCCAAAATGGCCCACCGGGCCTTTTTTTTTTTTTCTGTTTTTATTTTTTCTGCGTCGCGCTGAAGGTCGGACACCCAAAAAAAAAATACGGGCGTGTAGGGCTTTTCCAGCCCTACACGCCCATATATATATATATTTTTTACACGTAAAAAACGGGGAAAAAAAATAATGTACCGAACTCGGCAGGTCGGCCTAGGCCGCGCCCGACTCGGACACCCCGGTCGCGGCCGGGCATGCAACATAGGTTGCAGAGTATGGATTTTGACATTCAACATCGAAAGCACGAGAGACACGGCAACGCGGACAGACTGACACGACTGCATTGCCCCGACAAGGTACCCGGGAGTAAGGAGGTGATCCCGTGGCACGACCCAGAGCTCAAGAACTAGCCTCAATACCGACAAGTGGAGATTTTGTCAAAGGGCTAAGTGGACACGTACATCCAATCCCATCTCTCTCTCTCTCGAAACAATGGCAACCCCGCTTTCTCCTGCCTCTCCCACTGACTCCTCTCCCCGTGCTCATTCGGACTTTCTCGCCAATCTCCCAGACAAGTTCTGCTATTTTTGCACAAGTATTGCTCGGGTTTATGGGGTTGACTGCTATCCCTTTGAGTCTAGATTCACTGACTTGGTAGAATGTGCCACGTGTGTTAATCAAGCGCATGGCGCGTGTGTTCGATGCCAAAAAAGCAATAAGGAATAAAGATGCCCCCTGTGTAGAACGAACTAACTTCCTACGAAGGTTCGATTCGAGGCCGCCCGAATTGACGACCCTGAATACGACGAAAAATACCGACGGGCGGAAGTATGGACGGACAAAATATTATTAGCTTAATTAGTGGGCCAACCATTGGACCACCTCACTAAGCACGACAAGCGTCGAGCCACTGAGAGGTCTCGAGATTATCAATGGATCAACTGTCATTTTCAAAAACACAAAACAAACGGATCAGGATTATAGTTGACGGTCCCCCACCCATTTCAGAGGTACGACTGGACTAGATAGGCGCACGAGGAACAGGCTGCTCATTCCGCAATACGTGTCACTGAAGCGACCATCGATTAGAATCAATGGTTCTAATCTAATATCTGGGATGATGTAAAGCACGTGGTTGCTAACTGTCTAGTGTGTGCGACCGACCGTGCACCCATTCGTGGGCCGAACACGATAGTCCCGACACAGGTAAAAGGCCCTTTCCAGCGAGTCAATATGGACACGAAACATATTGACGTGCCACCCGGCCCCAACCGTTGTGAATATTCCATTCTCTTGGTGTTGATCGGCCATTTCTCGAAATATATCGAAGTCTACCCCTGTAAGACCCGTAAGGCCCCGGAGATAGCTACGTACATTGACCGATTCCTCAATACCCATCTAAATAGAGAAGAAATTCTAACCGATAATGGGTCTGAATTCAAAGCTGAAGTACAGGAATTATTGATGCGTCGTGGCGTTACTCTCCGACACACTGCTCCCAATGTTTCCCAATCGAACGGGTTAGCCGAAAATGTGAACCGCATGATTAAGATTGCTCTCCACAAGAATTTAGCGGCTAATGACACGCGTCCTTGGCCCGAGATTGTCTACCAAATCATCGGGATCCATCGAGCGACCCCTCATGAGTCCACTCGATTCACCCCCTTTCAGCTTCGGACCAATAGCATTCCATCTGTCGATAATCAGGGTATCTCGGAAATTGCCGAAAAAGGGGGCAGGGACACGCGTGCGGCCCTTAAAGCTAAGGCTAAGCGGGATGCGGATTTAATGGAAAGGGCTATCCCTAAGCTAGTCCGGAAAAGATAGAAAATGACCGAACTGGCCCACGGTAGACAGGTCCGGAGCTACGAAGCCCGGAACGGGAATGCAGGCCCGCAACACCAATATAAGCGAGGGGACCTGGTGCAGGTACGTAAATGTGCACGCGACCAGAAACTCGCTCCCAAGTTCTTTCGCTGTTTTCGTGTCGTGGAACTTGGTCCTAACGGAGCCAACACGGTGTGCATCGCGCCTGAGGCCAGCGCCAGCCATAGCTCTCTTCCCACTGTCCGCCATACGTCCTACATTTGTCCCCCCCTTCCTTCTGAGAACCCTAATCTCTCTCCCTCTTCTTCCTCCAGCGTAAACGAAGAACTTGCTTCCCTTCTTTCGTCTTACTCTACCTCCCCTTCACCTTCGCCATGAGTTTTGTTATTGAGTCGGTTCTTCCTGCCCAGCTTCTTCAACCTCAAGCCTCGTTGCAGTTTCGCCAATTCACGCATCCTCGTCTCAGTCCTTATCTTCTCCGATTTGCGCAGCTCTTCAGTCATCGAGCCCGGTGCGTCGCCGTAGAAGTAACGATATCGGCCGATCGGGGTTCAGCAGTCATCTTGGCAAAAGCGTCGGGGTTTAAACGCTTTTCACGGCCTACTCAGAGCCACGTGACGGTGATCGTGGCCTTCAGCAGCGGCCTATGTACCATTAGCATGCAGCGGCACGACGCGGTGGTGACTAACCTTTACGAGTGGGGGCAGGCGTTAGTGGCTGATTGTCGGCAGCGACTGGCCCGACCAGGACGACAAGTAGTGGGGACTGAGTTTATTGACACCTTCTCTCTCCGGACTAGCGCCACTGAACGTCCCGCTCGCCCACTTCCCTATCTTCATCCCTATCCTGGACGTCGATGAATCGCTTCTCTACGTTCTCTCTCCCCTCCGACCTTCCAACCATTTGGCCATTTTGGGCCGATCCCCTTCTCACTCTGGAAATCCATCTTGCTTCGATCCCTCCTTTCAGTCCAGCCTACATCCGTAAGTGGACTGAATTCGCGATGGTCAGTGTGTGTATGCTTACAGTGAAGTGCCACTGGTCACGATATTACAGTAATCGGGAGTTGGAACACTGTAACGAAATATCCCTGGTGCTAGCACAACTGTGGCCAGAAGAGGCGGCAACAGACGACACATTGGTGGGAATTCTGTGCGGTGAAATCACTAAGGGTGGCCAAGCAAACGTCGTCTATGAACTCCTCACGTTTCTATCTCAAATCTTCGACGATCTACCAACGGATGTCATCTCTTTCAATCCGAGCGATCCAGACCAGGTTGAACCTGTGACTTTGGAGAGGAAGTTGACGCCAACCGTAATCTGGGCGAATTGCACGGAGGATTTCTGTCAGTGCTTGGTGCTTTCTAGACCTGAACGACCTCGCGCCAGGATAACTTTCTCGCACCGGATAACGACGTTGGAGAGGAAGTTGACGCCAGCGATCACGACCCCAGGGCTTGGTGCTTTCTGAACTTGAATGACCTCGCGCCGGATAACTCCGACTTTAATGAGTTCTGGAAGGCTCATCAGGAGAACGGGGAAGTACCGTCAGACAATGACCCAGGTCGCATAGCTATCGTGGGGTTGTTAGAGGAAGAAAAGTCAAAAGCCCGGTCGACTTCAAACGAGGAAGATGAGGCATCCGCACCTGAGCTTGGGAGGCTCCTCTAGCTCGAGCGTCACCTACCATTCGGGGAGGATCCGCGCTGAATTCCGAAGTTCCATCGAACACCGCCAGTTGACGCGATGGCGCAGCAACCTACCGTCGGCGTCGCCGCTCCCGCTCACCATCTCCCTCATCTGCCCCCTCCTCGCTTTCTTCCCGTCCTCCTCCCGGCCCGGACGTTCCATCCTCGTTTCGTTTTCCACCGCCCCCTTGATTACCTCTCTTTTTCCCCTCTCCCCCATATTGAATTCCCCCTAAATTACCGTATTTTCGCTAACCAACTGTTTTGTCATCATTTCGTCGTGCGACTTCTATGTATAGTCTTTCCCCATCGCTCTCCATCCTTCCCTCTCAACATCCTCCTTTAGAGCATCGCTTAGAGACAGTACAACCATATGGAGTTGTATTGTATTATCTTCGGGACCTTTCCCGCTGTGGAAGATTATGAGTCCCTATGGGACAATATCCTCCGTACCATCCCCTCTTTGTATCCTGACTACCTTCTATCCCTGTCCCGACCCAATCATCGATTCCCTCACGCGCACCAGATCGTCCACTTCATCGACCTCGGTGATGAAGCTGCGGATTACTTCCCTCCGCTCCCACCCGAATGGCCGCGGCCCCTCCACAACCCTCTCCTTGTCGACTACCGTCAGGCGAACGTCCAATGATGCAGTCGTACCAGTGAGGACGGTGGACCATGATGGCGTCATTTGGACGACTTCCGCCCATCAAGAGGCAGAGAGTTGCTCATGACTAGGCTGGATATGTGGGGTTCTAGCAGCACGAGCCAGCAGACTCGCGAAGAAATTGCAATTGACGTTGGCGTCAACATGAACTCTGGCTAAATCATCTGCGCTAATGAGGACGATCTCTCTCCTGGTAAACTGGGTTCCTTATTTAACCTCTCCTCCGCCATGTAAACTAGCTTTTCTGCATGCAATCCGGAGATCGCATAATTTTGGAACCCCCTAAGCGTCACAATTGTGACGTACCAGCTTCTGAACCTGTGCCATCTTCCGGACTTCTTCTCTCTCCTTTTCCTTTCGAATTCTGCTCAGGCCTACAAGGCCCCTCCCTGTTTTCTTTTTTATTAAAGGTGCTTTGTTGGGACCCATGTTTTCAGTCCCATTGGTTCTTGAAATTTCGTTTTTCATAACTTGGGAAATGCTTGGGAATGACGTGCACTTAAGCGAGCGTGCTAGGAATTTGGCTCGGCAGTTGGAAATTCTGAAATGAACAGAACCCGACGTGTTCTTTTTGTGCGTGAATGTTCTTGACCACGTCGCGGAAAACTCAGGAAATGTAGTGGGAATACGAATGGATGTAGGACTGCCTTTTTCTCGCGCCTACTTTACGCACGGATATGGTGATTTCAATTTTTGAATTAGCATAGGACTTAGGATTTTGTAACTGTTTTGGTGCCTCTTTTTGCATTTGTGATCGGCGCCATGCAAGCCCTACGTGGCACCCTGGGCCGCGGATTCTGCGGCCCAATCCGAGCCGCGCGGCCGCTCCACGGCCCACTGGAGGCGCAGGTGGGAAATCGGCGCTTGCGCGCGGGCGGTGCACGTCGGCCGCTAACGACCTGCTTAAAAAAAATTAATTTTTTTTGAAGATTTCGGGGGGTTAATTTTGTTAGGTAACAAAAAAAAATACAAAAATAGAAAAAAATAAATATTCATTTGCTGCCATGGCGCACACACACACACACACACAATCAATCAATCAATCAATCACAATCAATCAATCAAATCAATCAATCAATCAATCAATTAATCAATCAACCAACCAAACCATTCAAGATCCTATCGAATAGATAGGATCTTGAATGGTTTGGTTGATTGATTGATTGGTTGACTCTCTCTCTCTCTCTCTCTCTCTCTCTCTCTCTCTCTCT